CGTTACATACCACGCTGATTCCATCTGAAACTTCCTAAGGCATTTCTGAGCTTTAGTTTACTCTCCATTATCGTCCTGAAGTGGTAGCTGATTCACTCAAGGTTATGTAGTGACTAGTTGAGAACCACGTACAGAGTGAAACTAAAGCACACATTTTAAGCAAAGGAATTCGGCTGAGATTCGAACGTCTCCCTTTTTATCCCAGAGATAAGGTAGGAATGATTTTTGTAGAGATCTGTCTGTGGCACCGTCATGAATGAAACAGGTAATGAACTGTACCCTTCAATTCGTCGTATATTGCGGCCTCCTTCCCCCTTCTCCACAGCAAACTTTGATGCTATAGTCTGTTATGCATCAGAATCGCATAAATGCGAAACCTCTTAAATGTCAAAGTTGCACTGCAAGGCGGAAGATAAATAACCTCAATGGCAATTAGACACGTTATCAGGGAGGCAGATGAGAGATTTGAAGTTGTACTCTTTCCATAGACATATATATAAAATGGACAAAAGAAGAACAGAGGGAAAAGTAACTCAGGCAGAATGAACACGTAACTCTCTTACGCATCCAAATTCATGGACGTTATCTGATTGGTTAAAGAGTAGGGCCAGCAGAAATGTCTGACTCCCTGTCACCAGACAAAGACATGTTGATATACGTAATGCTTCAAGTTAAAGCATGCAGTTATTAGAGCAAGAAAAAGAACGTCATGCAGAAGTCTATCTCTCAACAGATACAGTGAATACCATGGTAGCCACACATGAGTGGCTGAGCATGCCGAGAGGAACGACGGACAGCGAAAGTTGATCAACGTATAATTTAGATTTTTATCTCAAAGGGTCAAGACTATCACTGCCATAAATATCCCATATCATTTTGCATTATTATACATAACTATTCCCCTTACATCTTATATAATACCAGGGTATTACACATCGTTAAATGTTTCCTAATATTTAGAAGCAGCGTTGATATCATTCATCCAAGATGGGAAGTAGGCAAAATGTCAAGAAGGGCACAAAACAAAATTCATTCATTTTGAAATGTTGAAAAGGCATATTGTGTTGTATTTAGTAATTAATATACGGATATATGGATATACGACGAAAGCGCTGTGGCGACTTATCAGACAAATCAGACAGATTATCGACGACTTAAGCAACTTCCCGTAACTTCGGCTTGTCAGATCGTTATTGGCCAAATCTGACTCCTCAGATTCTATGCATTTGACATTTTTCATCCTGATGCTTCTTCTTCACTTCGTTTCTTTTTCTTGAAATGGTTTTCGCGCGGCTGCATTTTGCTTTATATTGAGCATGCGAGGCGCTGTCTGACTTCATATACTTTCCGCTTTCGTCCTCATTGTTGCTGCAGTGCGTCTGTACCAATTTTTTTAATGAAAATCTCCAGTATTCTTTGTGCATACCTGAACT